AGCCTAGGCAACATAGGGAGACCTCCACTCTACAAAAAATAAAAAAATTAGCCAGTTTGGTGGCATGCACCTGTAGTTCCAGCAATTTGAGAGGCTGAGGTGAGAGAATTGCCTGAGTCCAGGAGTTTGAGGCTGCAGTCAGCTGTGATCGTGCCATTGCACTCCAGCCTGGGTGACAGAGTGAGACTCTGTCTCAAGTGCGCGCGCACACACACACACACACACACACGCACGCACGCACGCAAACACACACACACACACTCTGAATAATCAGTTATAAATAGAAAAAATAAAAACAAAAACCTTGAGGTAGGCCCATTATCTGAATCCAAAATACAGAAGCCTTTATAAACAGCTTACTCTGCTCCGTTGTTCTCAGTCCTTCAAATACACTGGGTTACCTTGTTTAATCGTCACAAACAACCCCACAAAGGTAGATATTATTATTGTCATCTCTATTTCACGGGTCAGGATTTGTTCTGGGATTTGAACCCAAGCAGTCTGCTCTCAGAAAAATTCACTTATCTACTGTCTGCACCCATTCCCCCATTGCTGAAAATTAGTTAACTCTTCTTTTGCTTGTGAAACTTCCAGAAAATAATACAGTAGTTCTGCCTAATGTGAATGTTGTTGATCTTCAACTTAAGCTGAGTGAATTTTCTAGAATAGTTAGCTTAGATAATTAGAAAAATAGGAAGCACCGAGGGTGTTGACTTTAGACTTAGAAGACAGATATGAGCCACTTACCAGTTGCATGCCTTTGGGCAAATTACTTCTCTGAGCCTCAGTTTATTACTGAAATGGAATAACAAAAATGCTTACCTCGTGGAGTGTAGTAGGAGTCAATGAAAACAAAAAACAAGAAAAAACATATAGAGACTTCAGGTAGTGCCTTGAATGAGGAAAGACTCCAATCAGTAGGATATATTTGTATTATTATAGACAGTTATTCTGCCATAATAGGGACTGTCTTAGTGAATGTATTTTACTAAGCATGCCCTGTGAACACCATTTTTATCTCCTTCATTTTGTAGTGAATGACTTGATTGTTATTATCTATCTCATGAATGCCATTCTCTTTCACCCAACTAAAAACGCTGCCGTACTGTGAGCTCCATGTCTGTATTTCTATTGTCCAGTCTTGATGCAGTGGCCTTACTGAGTACCTAGGTGTTCAGAAGGAGTACCTTGTGTCCAGTGACAAACAAAGATTGGACATTTTAGAATATAAAGCATTTAAAGAATAACTCTGTGGCGTGGTGATGGCTCATGCCTGTTGTCCCAGCACTTTAGGAGGCTGAGGCTGGAGGACTGCTTTAAACCCCAGGAGTCTGAGACCAGCCGAGGCAACATGACTTCATCTCTACAAAACAAACAAACAAAAACAAAAAAACCCCAAAACTCTGGCTATAGAAACATTAGATTACAAACCCAGTTGGGGATTAATTCCATGCCATTTGGGATCGATGTCATCTGATGGGCGTTTTCTGTTCCAGGTTTGGTTCTGGGCTGGCTCTACGCAGGTGTGGGCTTATCTCAGTGTCCCCCAGAGCACATCTCTCCCCGTTTGCATTTGACCTTCCTTTTTGTCTGGACCTCCCTGCATTGCAGCATTCCACCTGGAAAATCCTCCCTAGAAGTGGCCATGCTCAGTTTCAGCAAAAATGATCTGTACTTGGAAGGAACATTTACATGTCATTGGTGTTTCTCTGAGGGTGTAAAGTGCTTACCATAGAGCTTGGCACGGTTTTTATTAAAGAAAAGAACAAAGAGAGACGAAACACGAAGAAATAGCTAGACTCCTACATGAAACTGAGAAGACATCCCCCCACTCTGGCCCTCATAAACATTAAACATTCTTTTTTCATGGTGACATTTTTAGCCTGTTCTGAAACATATTGATTTGTTTCCTGTGAGTCATTGTCTGTTTCTTCTATGTTAAAAAAACATATTAAATATCCATGTGATGATATAAATATATGTGTGTGGGTGGATGGGCGGGCGGAGGGAATTTTCTTTCAAATTCTAAGAAGGGAAATAGCTTTATCACAGGTTCCCACATCATTCATCAACTCATCACATCCTCAGTCAACTGCGTTTTCCCCCTCGACACAAAACTGGATACTTGCTCTGGTTTTAAAGCTTGAGAAAAAATTTTCAGAAAGTTCCGGAGATGGCCCATTACAGTGTTGAGGGGACTTCAGACTGTTCTGTAGCTCTGACCTCTGTCCAGCTGCTATTTCCATTTTGGACAGTAGAGGGCAGGCGTCTCCACTCCCGCCTGCCCGAGATTACCCTGGCAACTTTATGTTTATGCAAACAGCCTTTGACATAATAGCTTTGAAACAGCTGAAAATTGAATTGTGCCTTGAGGCCAAACATCTAGACCACCACCTTTGTTATATTCATCTGCCACAGCAAATTGGGTTCACCATTGACTCAGAGAGCTGCTTTTTCCTAGATCGCAGCCCCCACAATAACTTTGTGTAGGAGAAACACAAATGTGACTTCCTCACACAGAAACCTTGGCAGGGTTTCATGTCACAGACTCTTATCTGAAGGGCTGGAGGTGGCCATGTGGATTTCTCCAGCCAACTGAAGAAAAGAAAAAAAGGAAAACCGGTCACCTAAACCAAATCCAACTAATTCTGGAATCTTTCTGTGGGTTTCCATACCCTTTTAGCTTCCTCACTTAATCTAATTAGGACTTTGCCTCCCGAAATAAATACCTAATAAAGAATGAACCTATTAAGAGACTAAATTTACTACACGCACGTTTGTGTGAACCCTCTGCGTGTTTCCTTGAAGCGGCAATACCGATGAAATTGAACGTTGTTTGACTGGATAATGGTCTCCCGCTGTAAGACGGATTATAGAAAATAAACATGGGCGGGGGGGGGGGGGGGCAGCCGGTTGCTTTATTGAATTCCGTCGATGATAATGCCATCACCTGAAATAACTGCCTGGGAACAGTGTCAGTGGGAGAGAAGCAGTAACATCTAGAGCCAATTTGCAACTGGGGAACAGTTCATTTTCTTGGAAGTAATTTTATTCTGTTTTGGGATCAATGCCCTGGTTGGAGAGGTTAGCAGAAAGTTGGTTTTTGAAAGGGATCTGTCTGTGGGCATCGTGGTTCATTTGTTTGTCAATAAAGGTTTCACGAAGGCCTATTTTGTGCTAGGTACTATTTAGGAGTTGGGGACATGATAATTAGCAAAACGGGTTTGGACTCCCTCTCTTGAAACTTAGAGTCCTAGCGGAGGAGGTAAAATTCATTCATCAGCAAGTATATATTAAGCACCCCTTTGGGTCAGGCTCATAATCACAAAATAACTCTCACATTACAACCTGGCTGAGTGACATGAAGGTAAGTAGAAAGGTTGCTAGACTGGGATGTGTCGTTCCTTTGAAGAACAGTTTCAAGGAGCATCACGTGATATTAAATGGAACCCCAGATCAGGTTGGCAGGTTACAGAGGTGTTTTTGTTTGTTTGTTTGTTTTTAGCACACTTGCAAGTACCCCTAATGGGTTCAAATCCAGTCACCAAATTTTCTGGGTCTCAGTTTTCTTTGCTTTTCTTTTCTTTTTTTAAAAAGAGATAAGACTTCACTCTGTGGCCCAGGCTGGAGGGCAGTGGCACCATCATAGCTCACTGCAGCCTCAAACGACTGGGCTCAAGGGATCCTCCTGACTCAGCCTTCTGAGTAACTGGGACTAGAGGCACACGCCACCACCCTAGCTAATTTTTAAATTTTTTGTAGAGGCAGAATCTCGTTGTCTTGCCCAGACTGCTCTCAGACTCCCGGGGTCAAGTGATCCTGCCATCTTGGCATCCCAAAGTGCTGGGATTACAGGCATGTGTTACCGTTCCCGGCCCTTGGTTTTCTTTCCTTGATAGACGTCTATAGTAATTCCTGTCCAGTTTGCCTCATAGGATTGATGTTTGAATAAAATGAGAGAATATGCATGAAAGTGCTTTGTAATCAGTGAAAATATCTAGGACCTACCCAGGGGATCTTACAATCTTCTTAGGTAGACTGGGAGACTAGAGGTTGATCAACTGAGCATTTCAAACAGTTTAGGGAGAAGTGACAAGATATGTGTCACAGATGCGAGGTAGGAGGAGGTGAGGGAGAAGGTGAGCCTGAAAGAATGGGTGGGATTTATAAAGAGAAGAGTGGAAGTCCAACTAGTCCACATCTTGGGCTTGTGGGATGTTGGTACTCACATTGGCAGCTGGAATACTGGGGCTGGGATGGGGGTGTTCTGGTGAGTGACACCACAGGGTCCTGCCTGGACCAATCTGTTAGGCTGATATCTGATGATCAATTTTCCAAAGCTGTGTTAAATGATCAGTGCTAAGATATTGACGGAAGGTGATGAGAACATTCATATTTTACCCCACTTTTCTGCAAAGACAATATTTAAAACTAGGATTTCTTAAACCCGTGTGAGGCATATACTTTTTTCCTTTTTATTTTTAATTCACATGTAATAATTGTACATATCTATGGCATATGGAATGATATTTTGATATATGTATACAATGTGTAACGATCAAATCGAGGTAATTAGCATATTCTTCACCTCGAGCATTTATCATTTCTTTGTGTGTTGTGAACATTCAAAAGTCTCTCTTCTAGCTTTTTGAAAATATACACTAAATTATTGTTAACGGTATTCACCCCACAGTGCTACAAAACACCAAAATTCATTCCTTCCACTGAGTTCAAATTTTATACCTGTTAAACAACGTCTCCCATCCTTCTAACCTTTAATACCTACAATTCTACTCTCTGGTTCTAGAAGCACATTTTTTCTTTTTAGTTCCCATATATGAGCAAGAACATGTGGTATTGATCTTTCTGTACCTGTCTTATGTCACTTAACATAACGTCCCCTAAGCTCATGTTGCCGTGAATGTCAGGAGTTCATTCTTTTTTATGGCTGAATTGTATTCTGTTGTGGATACAGACCATATTTTATTTTCTTTCCTTTATTGAGGCTGAAATAGAAACTTTTTATTTTGGGATATACATAGCACTATTACTGTTACAAAGACATTTTTATGTAGTGACACTTTGTATTATGGAATCTACATAGCTTTATCCGATAATCAAGACATTAATACAAAGTGACACTTTGGGATATGTTTGGCCCCTTAAGCTAGATACCAGTGAAGACTGGCAAACTCATCATTAATAGGCGTGTTTATACTTTGTCCCAGCATTAGGGGTTCTGTTTATTCCAGTTGTACTTTCTTTGGCAGACAGCTATTGTGTTTTACTTTAGTACTGTATTGTTGTTGCCAGAGAACTTGCCTTTGCCAAGGAATAATCTCTTGAGATGCGATGTAATGCAGTAGATGGTGTAGTCTAATTCAATGAAGTCATCATTTCTTTGCACTTGCTTGACAGTTTGAATTTTTACCAATTTATACCATGTGTTTTTGGTAGAGTTCTGCCATATTGTATAAACAAAGGCCACCCAGGCTAAATGTCAAACTGGCTTCATTTCTGGTGATACATTTCCCAAACTGTCTGGAATGTTTTGTGCTTCTAGTGGTTCCTTTATGGACTCAAGTCTTGAGAAAATGTGTTATCTTCTTCATCTGGGTTCTTTCCAATTTCTCCTTCAAATGTGAAGTTGATTTCTGGGGCAATATCTTGTTCTACTGCGGGGCAAAATACTTCAGCTGTGCAGCTCACTGTAACTTGTTTTTGAATCATTTCTTCCCCAGAAAATTTAAGGTGACACTTGTGTCCTCTTCCCCGAGTATCCTCCTTGTTGGCTTGTCTGACCGGCTACACCAGAAACACCTTATAAAGTGCTCCCTACTGGTAGTTGAGGCAGTCCTTTGTCATCAGCTGCCTTGGAGGCTGGGTAGTGGGTTGGTGGAAATTCCATTCTTGATGAGCTGTGACTACCCGGCTGCTCAGGCTTCAGGGGACGGGTAGCTGCCTGCCCTGCTTGCTGCTGGGTCACTGAGGCAGAAAAGTTATCGTGCCTGGTTTGGCCTGGGCATGGAGGGATTACTCTTAAAATATACATATATATATTTATAAAAACATATAACATATATTCAATATATAAAATATTTAAAAATATATAAAATCTATAATTAAAAATATATGAAAATCTATATAGAGATATCTTTTAAAAAAAGAAATATTATCTCAACTCCAGAGAGGACAATCCCCTCTTCCTTAACAAGCTTTCCCTTGCGAATTGTTACGACTGAGGAGAAGATTTGGTCTTATAGCTGCTAGAACTCTTTTTCCTTTTAAAATTATCATTGAAACAAAAACATACAAGGAGAAAACGTTCTTGAAATACTGAGGCCCTTGAGAAAGTATGTATTGTCCTCAGGACAAATACAGGCTTCAGTGAGGGAAGCACTTCCTTCTAACAGTGGGAAGCATACCTATGTGATTTCAGTGCAGGGCTTGGGATCTTCTTGAGAGAGATTTGGGCCTTCATGACCCTTTAAGTTAGGTGCTGCACACACCCCAGGGTCTCCGTTCCCCACTCACTCACCATTTCTCCGGTGTGTTTCTTCAGACGTCCAAGCAGCATTTCTGTGATGACGGATGCTGGTGTCTCTCACTAGGCCTCATACCATCTCCTCAGGATGACTCACTGAAGATGGACCTCAAGTCCTGGTCAGCAGCCCGGCAGTACCAGTTCCACAGCCCAGTTTTATACTTTGCCAAAAGAGAACTCGTCCTATTTGGAAGGCTCCTGTGCTGTCTCAGAAGGTCAGTTCATCATCTATAACATCTTCCCGAGCCTCATGGGAAAATCCAGCAAGAAGAGGCAGCCGTTTTGAGAAAGTGACTTAGATTCTGGACCTGGCTTCTGTAAGCTCAAGAGAGCACCTTCATCTTTGAGTGATTCTGGCTGTGCCAGATCACTCTTGCTTGTGTCTTTAGTTTGCGTTCATCTTGGGCGTCAGAAGAGGAAAAAGAGATAGAAAAAAGCAAAGGTAGATTATAAAAAGCAGAGGAAGAAGGACAAAACATGGTGGAAAAGGCAGAAAAGAAAGACATTTCCGTGTGGGACTAGTAAGTTGAGTGACTGCTATATGCCATCTGATTTATGATGCACCCTGCTGTATAGTGGGGAGAACTTTCCATCCACAATATTAGCTGTGTAATCCAACTATAAGTCCTGCATTTCAATGACTAGAGGAAAACCTAGTCATTATGGGGGTTATTTCAACTTCCCCTGATGCATTCCCCACCTCCACCCTGGGATTTGCTGACATTCTAGGCTTTTTCTTTGAGTCAGATAGGGGTGGCCCCATTGGCTTGTAAAGGTTACCTCTCACTACATCCACAGCCTTTTAGTTGCTGGCTCTTGGGGTTTAGGACTCTTTGGGAGCCTGTGTTCTGGGTTCAGCCTTCTTAGACTGCCAAATACATATCCCTTAGAGACTGGCTGTTGGTGGTGCCTGAATGTAACCTCTTTCTGATTACAGACACTTCCTTCTTCCCTGGCCACTCTCTTGTCACCATCAAATGCACACCTCTTCCTTTTCCTTTTGGTGCCATCATCTTTTCAAAGTGCTGGGCTTTATAAAAGATAGACAGAACCATTGACCTAAGCAGTTTCTTCTACCCTGCAAAACACTCTTAGGCAAGGAATTATCAAGAGACTAGATATGTGTTTGGGAAAGGGGAAAAGGGAAAAATAAAGCTGAACACAACAGTAAGTCTCTTACATATAAATGAGTTCTATTCTGAGAGCATGTTTGCAAGACCAATTTGTTCGTAAGTCCAACAAAGCTAGCCTAGATACCCAACTAACACGTTAGTATGTGCCAACTACATTACTGCAGTTTTATGCTTGCTTCTGGACATCCTGAGCTTGAAAAAAAGATACTATCCTACTGTACCCTTTATAGTACTGTATGGTAAAGTACACAAAAGCACAACCACTTGTAGAGGATGCACGTACGTGACAATGGATGCCAGACACAGGAACTAACTTGCATGATTGGACATGCGAATGCATGTTCACATCTTTGAAAGTTTGCAACTCAAAGGTTTATATGTAGGGAACTTTCTGTAACAAATACCTTAAAACATTTTCCTACCTGAGGATACTATTCAAGTCATGCAGGTATAAACCTGCCATCATGACCCTTTTTAGAAAATCATGAAAGGGATCGAATGTTTGTCTAATTTTCTTGCAGCTCTTTGAAAAACTAACTTTTGAACAGGTGGATTTGCCCATGGTTCAGAATTCAGAAGATTCAAAAAGATGGAGTGAAAAGTCTCTCTCTCTTTCCTATACTTATTTCTCAACCACTCTGTTTTCTTCTCCAGAGTTAATTACTATTGTCTGTCTCTCAATTTTCCCATCAGAAATACTTTGTGTTTTTTAAAAATCATATATGAATATAGTGTATCATTCTCACCTTTTTTGGCTTCATGTCTATTTGAATTTTTGTCTACCTAGTTATTCAGAGCTACCTACTTAAGTTTATAACTTCATACTATATTCTTCTATATGTATTTACAATAATTTCTTTTACCCACCTTCTGTTAATGGACATTCAGATTGTTTCAGCCTATTGGTATTATAAACAAAGATACAATAGAAATCTTGGTTACTGTATATGTGTAGGTGAATTTAGCAGAAATCATTGGAAGTTTACAACGGGGCTAAAGAATATGTGCATTTTATTTATTTATTTTCTTTTTTATTATAAAGGTGTGGGGTACAATTCAGGTTTAGGTATACAAACACTAATTATGCAGGTACCCTTGTTGATGAGGTATGCCCCTCCCTCCCCTAGCAGTTTCCCTCAACTACCAATCCTACCACCCTCCCCTGACAGTTTCCTACTACTGTCAATCCTTTTCTTATAATATTATAATTGTTCAAGATCTGCTTATGAGAGAGAACATGTGGTACTATGTTCTTTGTTTCTGTGATACATCACTGAGTATGATCGACTCTAAGACCATCCAAGTTGCTACGATGTCCATATGTTTGTCCTTCTTTATGGTTGCATAATATTCCATTGTGTATATGTACCATATTTTTTAAATCCAATCCAGTTTCAATGGACAACATGGTTGGTAAAGTAGTATCTGTTTTCTTACCTTTAGTATAAGTAAGTTACTTTAATCTTTGTCAATCTGATCAGTGAAAGATGGTATTTCAGAATGGTTTTTTTTTTTTTTTGAGTTGGAGTCTCACTCTGTGGCCCAGACTGGAGTGCAGTGGCCGCTCCTGGCTACCGCAGCCTCGACCTGCTGGGCTCCGGTGATCCTTCTGCCTCAGCCTTCCAAGTAGCTGGAACTACAGGCGCGTGCTACCACGGCCGGCTAATTTTTCCATTTATTGTAGAGATGAGGTCTTGCCAAGTTGCCCAGGCGGGTCTGGAACCCGCAGGCTCAGGCAATTCACTCATTTCGGCCTCCCAAGGGGCAGGATTACGGGCTGAGCCACCGAGCCCAGCTTAGTATAGTTTTTAATGTTGATTTCTCTTATTAAGTCTGTAAGCCATTTTAGCTAATTTTCTGTGAAGTGTCTATGCCCTTGCCTATTTTTCCTTCTGTACTTGGATTTTTTAAGTTTATTTTAAGGAATTCTTTGTATATTAATGAAAATAATGTTTGTTCTATAATACATATTGCTACCTAGTTTTTCTACAGTTTGTTATTTATCTTTGATGCTTTTTCCAGTATCTTCTTTTATACAGAGTTTTGTGGAGTAACATTCATCTAGATTTCATTCTGGCATCTGGATTTTGTGTTATACATGAAAATGCTTTCTCCAGTATAAGATTACAAGCTTTCCCTTCAAGTTTTCTTCTAGAACCTTTGTGTTTTCATATTTTTCACTTTAATATGATTCCTCTAAAATACCTTTAGGTATAGGAAATGATTTGGGAATCAAACACCTTTTATTCCCCCAGATTGATTATTCAGTTTTCCCAATACCATTTTGCTCATTTAGCAGTTCTTTTAAAAACTTCTTTGGAATATATGCAGTTTCTGAATTCTACTTTCAGAATCTGAGTGGGCATGGTTGGTAGCTAGTTTGAATGTCCCAGGTACACAAGTAATGAATGACTGCCATTGATAAGTCAGGAAATGAGTCCCAGGGGCAGGGGTGGGGGAGGAGTCTATTTTCATTTCTTAACCCCTTTCATAGACATTTATAGCCTTGGGAAGAATGGGCTGGCTTTAGAGTTAACACTCTTGGGGCCAAATCTTGCCAGCAAATGAAAACCTAGTTAGAATGGATAGTAAATGATCTAATGAGTCCATGTTAAATATACACTTTGCTATCATGTGACAAGACCATTTGGTTTAGAATGTTTTTTCCCTACTATAAATTATTTCCCAATATTTCTATTTTTTCACAAAAATGTCTCAGAGAGGTGATTTTTATCTCTAGAGGCGCTCACTCTGAACTGTTTCCTTTTTGTTTTTCCCCATAGAGTGATTTACTGTACGGGCTGAATTTTTTTTTCCATATTCAACTGAAATGCTTTGTCCTATGTCACAGTCACAAATCATTTATCTTGGTTATTTTGGGGAAAAAAGATACTTTCCAATAAGACGTCGTCTTTCCATCGCATGCTCCCCCCGCTGTCCTTGTCTCTCTCTGGGCCTATGTCTGCATAAGGCTCTTAGATCATCAATCAGTTTTTGACTGGCCAGTTCATCGAAGCAAAGCTTCCTCTGGTATTTTTGGTTGGGTTGAGCAGGCATTTGGCATTGTGCGGACACAGTAAAAGCTTCTCTTAACAGATAACCATCAGATCTTCAGGAAGAATGCGTTGCTCTTAAGTCTTTAAATGGAAAATATGTGTGACAAGGGTGCCTCCTGAGATAAATATTTATTAGGAACCCTCACTTGGGAAAAGTGCAGATTCTCTAACTCAG